ACTTCTTTCTGCATATATTTGAAATTAATATTTAACAAATATAAGTCAGGAGATACTTGGTAAGATTAGACATGTATGATGGGCAGGTGAGCTCTTGATAAATTCACTCTTTCATTTTTGGAATACCTGACATGTGGCTTACTCTGCTTACAGCAAGGGTAGCAGATCTGGTGCCAGGGCTGACCAAAAATGAAGCAAGAAATAGAAAAATATATGATCTATCATCGGGAAGTGAGGGCTGTGTGGAAGAATAAAGTTCATGTGAGAAACCATAACAACCACAGAGAAATGTGGCCATTGGTAGGCCACAGTTGTAGCATGGAAATCATTTTCAAAGCCATGTGATAATTGCTTGTCTGGACTCCCTATCTGGTGCACAAAATTATTTCACTGACTCTCAGAGAACATTTATAACAAAATTTTCTGTAAGAATAGATTCCTGATGTTGCCACAGCCACCCCACTGACGATCATAACTTCATTGTATTGACAGCCCTGAGGGATTGTGGTGAGGCAGTTTACCTCTGGGTACAGTGACCAGTTACTCTTCTCAGAAGGAATCACTATGTGAGCATTTTGATTTGAAACGTACAGAAAATAGTCCCTATGAGTTCATCCAGGTAACTAGGCTGTGAAAAGCAGAAATGTCCTAGAAGGATTTGTGAATTCATTTTATAGGTTGATGGGTGAGAGAATAGATTGATACATGGATGGATAGACTAATGGAAGGAAGGGTAGATAAGTAGATGGCTACATGGATAGATGGGTATATGGATGAATGAGTAAGTAGGTGAGTGGATGGACAGATGAATGGATGGATGGATGGACTGATGAATAGATGGATGTATGTGAGGATGGACGAATAGGTGTGTAACTGGATGGAAAGATAAGCACATGAATGGATGGATGGTAAATAGAGGCATAGAGATAGATAAAAGATATTCTGCTAATTCCATTATTCCTTCAGCAAGGAAAGGAGTTTAATGTTTACTAGCAGATTCTTGTGTGCCTCAGGATTTTAACACACACCATCTTACCTCATTACGTCGGGCTATGATTAAGGCAATGTGTCTTGTATGCTCTTTCTTCATCTGAAGTTTTTAGAGTCTTTAAATTGCTACCACATAGGGAGTTAAAGTTTGAGGCAAATGTTTGCATGTAAGAAGCCCTTTTGTGGATGATTTTTGCAAGGACTCTGTCCCCTTTCCATGGGGACTTCCAAGAATTAAACTGCTTCTTGAAGTTCACACAAATACAGAGTTAAAATAGGAGACTTAAAGAGTTTTAAACGTTGGTGCTGTTTTGTTTTGGGCTTGGGTGCTGGGAATTGAACCGAAGATCTCGTGTTTGCTGAGCTACGTTTTGTCCAGACCTTTTTTTTCACATTTTTTGCTTTGAGATAAGATCTCACTAATTTGTGATCCTTCTGATTCAGCCTGTTGAGTAGTTGGGATTACAGCCTGAGCCTCTAGCTGTGGCAGTTTTAAACTTTTCAAAGGTACTCAATCTGATCATTCTTTTTAAATATATTTTTAAAATTTATTATTTTTATTTTATGTGTATGAGTGTATTGCCTGCATGTATGTGAGTGCACCCGTGTCATGCAATGCCACGGAGGTCAGAAGAGGGCTTTGGATTCCCCTGGAACTGGAGTAAAGGACAGTTCGTAGCCATCATATGGGTGCTTGGAATTGAACCCGGGTTCTCTGCAAGAGCAGTCAGTGCTCTTAACTGCTGAGCCATCTCTCCAGCCCCCCGATCATTCTTTTTTAAAAAAAAATTTAGCCAGGCACGGTGGTACATGCCTTTAGTCCTCAGCACTCAGGAGGCAGAGGTAGGTGGATCTCTGTGAGTTCAAGGCCAGCCTGGTCTACATGGTGAGTTCCAGGCCAGCTGGGGCTACAAGGAGACCCTGTCTCAAAAAAAAAAAAAAAAAAAAAAAAAAGACCAAAGACTTTTATTTGTATGGGTGCTTGCCTGCATGTATGTATATGTTTTATGCACATGCCTGGTGTCAAGGGAGGCCAGAAGAGGGCAATGGATCCCCTGGAACTGGAGTTACAGGTGGTTGTGAGTCAATATGTGGGTTCTGGGAACTGAACCCAGGGTCTCTGCAAGAACAGCAAGTACTCTTAGGTACTGAGTTACTTCTCTAGTCCTAGTCATTCTTTATTTTCTTCCAAAAATATTAGCTGTATTAGTGTGAAATGTAGAACTGCACGGTAGGTCCCACACTGGGGAGACCACAGGAAAGCTGAGACAGGAGGCTTGGGCCATGGAGGCAAGGTGGCAGGGGCACATTCTGTGGGTTTCCAGTGCCTGGATGCCCCTGTCCTGCCTATCTACAGCTACTGAGCTGCTCTATTGGTTCATTTTGGATGAGTCTAAAAGATTGTGTTCAGTTTGAGTCTGAGGGCAAAGTAGTCCCAGTGATCAGTTGTATCACCTTTTGTTTGAGACAGAGACGTAGCACAGGCTGGCCTGGAATGCACTATGTAACCCAAGTTTGTGGCAATCCTCCTGTTTCAGCCTCTCAAGTGCTGGCATTACAAGTATGAGCCACTGAGCCCAGAAGTTGTGTCCTTGAAGGTTGCCCAAGGAAGGTTAAGCCAAATTTCCAGGAGTTTATTTTTTCCCCCAAATAAAAATCCCTTTTACCCAGATTTTTAGCTCCTGACAAGGCTGCCATCAAAGCACCCTGGCAATAAAAAAGGAGGAAAAAGGTGAAGAGACTGACCACCCTAGCCCAGCCTAGAACCTTCCTGTGATTGGCTAATTGTCTCCCACAGTTCTAATGAAAGCTTTAGCCCTGGGGAAAATATATAGACCAATTACGAATTCTGAACCACAACTGAAGTACCTCTGTTTACATAAGTCTAGTTTTAAGGCAAGCCAAATCAATTAGTTGTCTGTCTAACTGATGAGTATTTACTTTGCCTATTCCTTTCCAATTATTTGATGAAATTAGCTGTTTTACATAATTATTTAGTATTATCTTTTCTCTGAATCATTCTCTTACATTAGTAGAGCCTTTTTTGTGATACCTTCACATATGGAGCATTCTGTAATTAATATTATTAACAGAAGGAAAAGATGATTTAATATTATTCAGAGACATTGGAATGCAAAGTTGCCAGTGTGCTAGAAGTGACCAAAGTGGAAACCAATGTTACAGGGCTTAGGATAAAATCCAATCAAATACAGATGGTATTTTAATTACCTCCAGTCTCTGTTGTATCAAAGTGCTTTGATAATGCTAGAATTTACAGTCCACCCCAACATCACATAAAATCTGAGGGAGTGAACATTTGTTTAAACAAGACACAAGGGGAGAGGGGAGGCAGCGCAATAGGGATGCTTGCTTTAGTCACACATGATACACACTTGTTCTCATGCTTGCTAAGCATCTTCTTGCACCAATCCTGCACTGGCACGTGCGATCATGTTCCTTACGTTCTTAATTGACCTTTACTTGATTTTTTTTTTAAACCATCTTTGAAAGGGCCATTTTGCTCCAGTTCTTTGCTGATCAGCCCCATCGCAGGGAGAACAGCCCACATGTTCCCAGTGTGCAGTATCGGTCACTGGGTTTATCCAAGGGCTGTCATTTAAGCAAACTGAAAGCATTTGTTTTTAACTTGTTCTTTTGCCAAAAGTCTGGAGAAGGGTGGATGTTACAGAAGCCTCAGCCAATAGCTGAAAGGGCTCACAAATTTTTTAAAAATTACTCGTTCTGATTCTCTTCCAAGCTGGCTTATAGTTAGACGCTGCTGCCTGTGTCTTCCAGACCTTACATTTTAACAAGATGACTCTGGTTCAGCCCTTCCTTTCCTTTGGTTCTCAGCCAGTTGGATGATGGAAATGGAAGGACGGTGATGTTATTGGCTGCTTCCGGGTGATGGGGACTTTGCATTGATACCTCTTGTCATTTTAGTGCCTTAATGCTCAGAATGGCAAAGTGATTTCAAGAACTGCAGTAGCTATTCTGTTTTGTAGAATGAAACTTTGCCCCCAGAGTTTAATCAGAGCTCAAGTTTCCAGTAGTGATGCAACATTTAAGCAGATCTTTCCATTAACCACAGATGGAATTTTATCTGACAGTTT